ATAGTCGCATCAGTCATTTTTTTTGATGATGTCAACAATGGTCATAAGGTAACCCCTGAAGCTTGTTTCCAAAGTGAATTGTGACAACTGAGTATGTTAAGCTAGAAGCCTGAAGTGAAAGGGATCAAAATGGGTCCATTTCTGGTAAGTCACAACATACTCCTGTTTGGAACGTCCAGTCCTTCTGGTCTTCTGCTTCCCCAAAATGCCATGGTCGTGAGTTTATTCCTTAGCAGAACTCAAGCTGTCTCGATGAGTGGGTAGCATGTTGCTGTGATGTCAGTCATCGCTGAAGCAGTCAGAGTCTTGTTTTGAATTAATCACCCGAGGACACCTACGAATAACTATAACAGAGTTAAGGACCACGACCTTCAGGAAAGATGTGCACAGGTACTCCAATGAAACTTTTTGACTGGCAAAAAGAGTAGCTTCTCAAGCTGGGCTCTACAGTAGGACTATGTTGTTGTGTTACAAGGCTCATTATTAGGAGCCTCAAAGAGGGATCCATGATCACAGGACTCTCTCAAGAGGCTCAACAGCTGCTTGGAAGACCCACGGTCCACTTGACTACATGAGGCAAAAGTATCTTTGCCAATAGTTGGACCAGCGTCATGAGGAGAGCTTTAAATATGGAAAAGGGAACAAGGAGGCATGAGGTAGAGCAGGCAAGCCAAGACCCTGGGATGATGGGCAGACAAGGGACATAGCAATTCACAAAGCAATTCAACTGAAGCCAGCAAGGCGAGGGAGGTGATTCTACCCCTCTACTCCACTCTCCTGAGATCCCATCTGCAGTACTGTGTCCAGCTTTGGAGTTCCCAACGTTACAAGGACATGAACCTGTTAGAATGGGTCCAGTGGAGGCCCACAAAGATGATCAGAGGGCTGGAGCACCTCTCCTATAAAGACAGGCTGAGAGAGTTGGGATTGTTCAGCCTGGAGAAGTCTCCAGGGAGACCTTACAACCCCTTCCAGTCCCTAAAGGGGCTACAGGAGAGATGGGGAGGGACTCTTAATCAGGGAGGGGAGCCATATGACAAGGGTTAAGCATTTTAAAGTGAAATAAGGGAGATTTAGATTAGTTCTCAGGAAGAAATTCTTTGCTGTGAGGGTGGTGAGGCACTGGAAGAGGTTGCCCAGAGAAGCTGTGGCTGCCCCATCCCTGGAGGGGTTCAAGACCAGGCTGGATGGGGCTTTGAGCAACCTGGTCTGGTGGGAGGTGTCCCTGCCCATGGCAGGGCTGAATCTTTAAGGTCCCTTCTAATTCTAACCATTCTATGATTCTATAAGTGTAATTCCTTTGAGCACAGGCACACAAGGAAGGAAGCACCTGCAGAGCAGCCTTGTAGGGAAAGCTCTTGAGCCCGTGCTGCAGAACCGGCACACTTGCATGCCCCTCAGTGACATCTACTCCAACACATGCAGCATGGGGAACAAAGAGGAGGAGTTTGGAGACTTTGTGCAGTTACAGGGCTACAATCTCATTGGGATCATGCAGAAATGGTGGGATAGCTGATACAACTGGAGTGCTGTGATGGAGGAATACAGGCTCTTTAGGAATGAGAGCAGGAAGGTGAGGAGGTGCCCTTTATGTGACAGAGTTGCTGCAATGCACAGAGCTCTGCCTTGGGACAGGCTAGGAGTCAGTTGAGAGCTTCTGGGTCAAGATTAGTGGGCAGATCAACATGCCTGCTGATGTATTGGGTATCAGCCACAGATGTCCTGATCAGGAAGATCAAAACTTAATATAATTGCAGCAGTAGATAAGGCCTCCTTCACACAACTGGACGAAGCTTTGCGTTCACAGGCCCTGCTCCTCATGAGGGACTTTAGCCACCCCGATTCCTGCAGGTATCTGAACACCACCTCCTCCCCCTTTTACCATGAGAGTGGTCCAACGCTGGAATAGTTGCTCAGGGAGGCTGTGGAGTCTCCATCCTTGCAGATATTCAAAGCCTGACTGGAGATGGTCCTGGGCATCCTGCCTTAGGTGGCTCTGCTTGAGCAGGGGGATTGGGCTAGTTGATCTTTAGAGCTGCCTTCCCACCTCAACCATTCTGTGATCTTGTGACGTTTAGCTCCATATAATTTGATTCCTCATACATTTAAAACACAAAGATAAGCCCTGGCCAGTGAACATATGCATCGCAGCTTTATTCTTGACACACAGCCCCACTGCAAACCCATTATCTCCAACTGAGTGGTCGCACTGAGATGAAATTAAGCAAAGCGTATTTAGGACTGTGGCCCAGCACAGTCATTTTCCTAACCATGCATTTTACTTCACCTTTGTTTATTCAAAGGAACTCATTTGTATTAAAAGAACTTCCACTTCATATAGAAGGTCAAGGATTCACTGATCTGTTATTTCAATGACAAAGCTTCTCCCAAACTGAAGTTATACTGAAAATATAAGCAATATTAATGAAAATAATAGTCAGTATAAATCAAGCTAGAAATCCCACTTATTGTTTTTTTTTCTTTAAGTTTCCCAGCATGGCAACACTGTCCTAGAGAAATCCAGTATTTGTTTGCCAGTGTCATAAAAAAGTTTTATATCACAGTAAATGCATATACCACTGCAGAATGGTAGAATTTCTATTTACATAGGATGCACAATGAAGGAACTATAGACAGAGCAACATTTAAACATGCCTTTCAAAATGGAAAGTGCCTATTGTTCACCATCTCTGGTGAATTTTAACATCAAAATCAACTCTTTGTTATTCCTATCCTCCTGAAACATTTCACCCTTCCATGACTTATCCAAAAATTACCCCATACCTGACCCCAAGAGACACTACAAAACTACCTCCAACCACAGCGTTGAATTGTGAATGTTTGGTAAAAGAGGGCTGGAAAAATCACTGGCAGCTCACAGGCTGTGAGAACAACACTAATGCTAAAATATTTACTGCAAGAGAAGAGGTGCCAGTAGCACAGTTCCTCATTTCCTGCTTTTGTTGGTCGGCAGAGGTCAATACACCAGAGAGCAATCTTTGGTACCACTGCACACACAGCTTTGTGAGGGAAAACACTGCAAGTGAAGACATCTTTAATTAACACCAATTTTACAAAACCAAATTCTGAGTTAACTGCTTGCTGACAGAAATTTCCTGGTTACGTGGTATTTCCATATAAAACCACAAAAATTCTATGTTGCAAAGCAGGGAGAGAAGGCACGGTATGAAATCCAAGAAGTCACAGAGTGTAATTGATAACAAAGGTGAAAAATGGAGAGATGAAGGAGAAGAAAGTAGCAATTCCAGCCCACCTATTACTTTTAAGGTTCTAGATTGCAATTTGAACAAAATTTCTCAGTTATGGTAAAGAAACATAACAGATAGCATATTGTTCAGCATGTCATGTTTTTCTCTCATTTCTGACCGCGAGAACAATATGCACTTTGGTGCAACACAAAATTCATTATAGGATCAGGGTCTCTGTTTTTATGAAGTGAGTGAGGTCACAAATTTCTCCCAGAAGGCAACTAGGCTTCTGGGCAAAAAGGCAATGAAAAAAGTCCAAAAGAGCACAGAGAACTTCTCTCTTTCTTAGATGAGAAAATGCTAAGAAATGTCGTGCATTAATAATGGAAAAATATTAATAACTTCATTTTATTATCCCTTGATGCATTTCTCAAATCAAAACTATACTCTTTCTCAGAAAGGTTGCCCTAACTACTCCAGAGTATCCACCTTTTATGCTACTGACACACTTCTTGGGAAAATGAAAACTCAAGAAGTGCACTAAGAGCCTATTACTGTACAACCTAAAGCATATATTGTCCTTGGGGGAGATCTATAAATGACCCCATTTGAGAACAAGATTTTCTTTTTTTCACCGTTACCTAGCGCAAACGTGTAACTTCCTCAGGAAGAAAAAAAAAAAAAGACTCCTAAACTAGATTATTAAATGTCTTTCCAGGCACTTACCATAGTAAGATTTGCCAAAACTTAATATAATTGCAGCTTCCAAATTTAGACTAAATTTTACTATTATTTTAGAAACAAGTGTCAGATTTATTTGTTTTGAAAGACAGAAGAGTAATTAGAACAACATCCATGGGATGGCAAATCTCCCTTCCTACTTATCTCTGTAATGACCCATATAGTGCACTGGGTTTTGTCCTTCTAATTGTATATTCCTCAGCTCCAGTTTTAGTAATCAGAATGCACAAACTTATCTGGTCATAAACTTTTATTAGAACTCGGTTGAAATAACAGAATATCAAATAAATTATGCTAAATATTGAGGAAGTTAAATGATTCTACACTGAGCCACTGACTTCTTGGCAGCTATTTAAGTGCCTGAAGGAGTAATTACATTACCTCTGAAAGTTTAGTTTAAAACAACCAAAACCCTAAAGCCCCTAAACTTTTAAGAAAATAGCAAGAACTACATTCAGGCTCCCAGGGAAAGGATGATGAGTAAAACTTGTGACCCATTAAAAGAACAAAATAACCATGTTTTAAACATGGTTAAAACACTTTTAGAACTGGCAATTATAGTAATAATTTTTGTTCTTTTGGGTTCTCCTCCCCTCCCCACTCAAACGTTGTCTTTTGGGTGCCATTTTTCTCTAAAAATTAAGATTATTTTAGGATGTGACAACCAACACTTCACAACAGGGACACGCTATGCAGATCTCCAGGCCCAAAAAAAACCAAAGTGAGGGGCAAGAAGTTTTTCAGGGGAACCATAAAATGCAATTACCATTGTTCTGACCAACAAGTCCCAAGTGACCTGTGAGGGTACCTAATGGGATTTATAACTCATAGAGCCCAAGTGACCTGTGAGGGTACCTAATGGGAAACAGTACTCACAACAATAAATTAACAATGGTGGAATGTTTAGACAAAAGCACAAGCAGCCAACATTTAAAGACTGAGCTTTTCAATAGACAGAAATGTTTGCTTTTTACCAGATTTCTTAGGTAACATTTTCACACTTTTGCGAAATAATTTTGTAGCAGATAAATACTGAAAAAGAAATCCTACCTGTTTCCTCTTTTCAGGTGGAAGGGATGGATCCCCATCCTACAAATAAATGGATACATTTTATTGGCAACTTATTTCTGAAGCCAGCAACTATATTAACAGTGTGCATCAAACTTTAAAACATGTATTTTAGGTAAAATGTTATCAAAATTGTCTCTAAAATACTGCATCCTGATTAATACCAGTAATATTAATTTCAACTCAAAAAATTGTCTAAGGCTGAAGATTTGTTTACATTTCTAGAACAGCAAGTCATTACAAATTTATGTTGCATTGTTTTTCATAACAGTACATTAAGTTGCTGCGGAATAATAATACCGCAGTCAGTTTTTAAATGGAATTATGACTGAAACTAATTTCCTCAGAGCATGCACTGTCTTTCTGTGTCTTATATAACAGGCACTACCTCATCAATGCGGAACAAATGAGTAATAATATGATCAGGGCTATACAACTGCAGGACTACTGTAAACAAGTGCCTAAACATTTTTACAGCAGTCATTATGGGCTTCTTTCCATTTTTTTTCTTTTGAGGTTCACCCTTGTCCCCCAGTTATACAGTATTTGTAAAGAACAACCTACAATCAGCTCCCGGTACTTCTTTTTCAGAGACTGGTGTCGTTCCCGCAACTGGTTGGCCATAAGCTTGTACTGGTCTCTTTCTTGTTGACATGTGTCCAGCTCTTTGGAAAGGATTAGCAATGCCTCCTTTTTACTTTCGAGCTTCCTTTTGCACACCAGATACTGTGGAAGAGAAGAAACAAAACATAATTGTAACAAGACTTTTCCACCACAGCCTGCACTGGATTCAAGAAGCTTAAGTTTTTCCTCTAAAAAGATGGAGGAAGGCTGTCCACACGAGATCGAAGCCCACCTCGAGTCATCTTGGCTTATTAATAACAATCACAGAACGACAGAATGATATGGGGTTGGAAGGGACCTCTGGAGATCATCTAGTCCAACCCCCCTGCCAGAGCAGGTCCACCCAGAGCAGGTTGCACAGGAACATGTCCAGGTGGGTTTTGAACGTCTCCAGAGACAGAGACCCTACCACCTCTCTGGGCAACCTGTTCCAGGGCTCTGCCACCCTCAAAGTGAGGATGTTTCTCTTCACGTTTAGATGGAACCTCCCATGTTCCAGTTTGTGCCCACTACCTCTTGTCCTGTCACTGGGCACCACTGAAAAAAGATGAGAAAGAAATCTGTTGTATCAGAAGCCTGCAACCCATTTATAAGTGAGAAAGAAATCCATTGTATCAGAAGCCTGCAACCCATTTATAAGGCCACATGCTCACCTGACCACCATGAGTTAGAAAAATTCAGCAATTCAAGGTTCTCCTCTGTTTCCTCACGTGCAATAGTATGAGGAACCCCACAATTTGACCCACAGCCCTGAGAAGGCTGCTGGAAGGAAGAAGCCTTTGCAAAAACTCCCTTTTCTACTTCTTTCCAGCTGTCGGTTAGCAACCAGCATTCCCCACCTCATCCTCCCTTCCCTCCTCTTGGAAACCTTGCAAATCTGGGCTGTTCTGCATCGGTCTGATCTGCTTCATTGCCCTTCCCTGCCGGGAGGAAGAGACAGTAATGTGTGTGTCATCCTTTCCTGCAGCAGTCGAATGGTACCCATCCGAAGTTTCAGGCAACTTTTTTTCACTTAAGGGGATGTTCAATCAGCAGATTCTTCTTACCCCTTACTTGACACCGCTCATGTTAAAGCATATATTTCTATTCCTGATGTTACCCACATAAGACGTGGCACTAAATACTTTCGGAATGTGCTCCGCAAGAGACCAAATATCACAGCAGTCATGAAAACAATTTATAGTTTCATTATATACTCTGACAAGAATACTTTGTCATTATGGGCTCTTGCACAAAGCAAGAGCATCAGCACTTCCATGCTGTTCAACTCAGCGCTGTTCTTCGGGACATTCGTATGTACTACTTGCTTGGATTTGACTCTGTTAACCTCAATTTCAAGTCAATGAGAAAGGGAAAAAGGAGTTTGGTACATTAGTACAGCCAACTATTTCCAAAAATGGTAAACGCTTAGTTGCAAAAAAGCGGGAAGGGAATGAGAAAAGCAATTCCAAGAAGGATTTGAACTCTCGAAAAGGACACTTCCACCTTGGATTAATTTTATTTCTGGCAATACCGAAGTTGAAATCCTGCCATAAATTTTCTGGATTATGATGCCTTGGCATCAACAAAGGCAACTGTACCTATGTACTTATGTCCTTACTGATACCGTACACAAATGTCAAGTCCCCTGATAAAGCACTGAAAGGCATCAGAAGCTAAACTTTAATATTGTCAGCAAGTGATTGCAGTGACACGGTAAACTGCTTCAAACTTGATAAAATAATTCCTTCCCTTACAGTGAAAGATTTGCCTCTGAATCTCTCTTTTATTCCAGTTTCATGTCTTAGTCAATCCTAAAATACGCCTTCACTAAACTGGCTTTAAATACTAACGAGTATTTAACGAGTAAAAGCAAACCTCACAATCACTAAAAAAAAAACCACCCAAAACCCCTGAACCAAGAAGCCTGTCCTGCTCCTTAAATCACCAGGAAGAACAAAGCTGGGCTATTCAGCCAAGCCGACCTGGAGCCCATTCAATGTACACAGTGGGAGGGGAGCAAAGCCAAACATCTCCCCTTTGGACACCCCCACCACCACTGGGTGCCCCCCAGCCCTGCCACAAGTGCTGGTGTATGAAACGGCCTACGAGGGAGTGGAATCTAACTGGAGCATGGGGATAACACTACAAAAAAAAAATAATAATACTTATCAGGCAGGAAATGCAGAGCTACTGCTAAACAAACCTTGCTCCTGCCGTGAGTCACAGCTCTCCACAAAGGACACATTCACAAGCGTAAAAGAAGGCTTTACCTTTCCCAGCAGCGCTGGAGGGGGCAAGGCAATTGTCCATTATCTGTCAGGTTGAGGATAAGGAACCATAAACAGATTAAACATATAAACAGGTTAAACAGAACCGTAAACAGTTGTGTTCGGGGCTCTAAATGAAAAGGAATAACGATCTCCTTCCTTGCTTAAAGTATATTTTAACTTGATGAATTATATACTGATGATGTGCCAGATGGAAGGAATCTCTCATCAATGTACTGTTTGGATTTTACCATAAAAATGACCACCCAGAAGACTTTTTGAAGCCATTTTTGCCTTTTGCATACATTGACTTTCCCAAATAAATGGGATAAAAGTCGTAACAGTGTATAGTAATTTGTTTCCATGGGCTTATGGTACAAGAAACAAGAAAGCCAGAGCATTTCTGTGGAATTTGATTATTTGACAGAGCTGTGTTTCCAATTCCCATTACCATTTTTGAAGGAAAAACAAATTATACAAAGACAGACCTCAAAGAGGTTATTCAATATATATGCTTCTGAACATTAAACAAAACAAAACAAAAAGTCCTAATAATGGCCATAAACTTTCCTAACAACTGTACACCAGAAATGGATTCTACTCAGGGAAACAACCGAGTCCCACCAACAATTTCCCATCTATGGGTAAATAACTGCAGCAAAATTGGTAAGCTATCAAAAGGAACACAGGAGTTTAACAGTCTTTTTGGAGCAATGCAAGCAATAAGGAAAATTTTCTCATATAGGCTGAGAAAAAGCATTCAACAGACGCTTCTGGCATTCATATAGAGATTTCTTCCTCCGCAATTAAAGGAGAAAGCCTAAGTCTCACATGCTGTTAGTGAGACAAACAAGCGAATTCTGTTGTGCGCTACAGTCACTATAAAATATTCTTATTATCTTTTGTTTCTTTTTAATTGATATTCCAAAAGAATCTGAGTTTAAAAAGCAAAGTTAACCAAGAACCAGCTGCTACACTTTCAATCTAAAAGCTACAAGGTACAACTTTCCCTATCTGTCTAGTGACTTTTATCTACCAATTCGCTGTTATCTGCAATAAAGCAAATTATAATTGCTACAAGGAAGATCATAATAATTAAAGGAATATATACGACATCCTACATTACTGCCTGAACTGCTTTACAGCCAGATAACTACTTTAGTGAAATTGAGTAAAAAAAGACTGACATTACAGGAGAGTGTAACTGCTCCAAGGTGACCCTCTACATCAAACACTTTGTATTTGTCCATGGCTATTTTTAGTGACAAATCTCGATAGATCTCATTAACGACACCGTAGACATGGTCTAATAATCTGATGAAGCTGGGACACCGTCAAGGTTTTAGACTTTCTTTTTTTAAACCAACAAACACACCAAATTCCTATCACAAAATAATTTATTTTAAATTTGTACAAATTACTGACCTATACTCAGGGATTATGGCAATTAGCACCAAGAAGGAAAATATCTGATTTGCTGAGGGTAAAAGTGGAGATTAGTATCTCCAAACTGTGCTTTGCAATCACTGTGGATCATATCCTGTGTTCTCTCAACATCCAGGACCCAGAGTCCTCCCAAATGTTGATGGGCCACCACACTGTAAGCAGGCCTGGAAACCCTACCATCCACCAGGCTCTCAGAGAAACCATGAATCCTCCTCACCATCTTTTGGACAAGAGATCCAACTGCTACTGAACTGGCTGAAGGCTTTATCGAATTTCTCCTTGCTGTACTCTTGGAAGCAATATTTTTATGCCAATGACAAACTGAAGAGTCCCAAAGTGTATTGTAACATCACTATTCAGGGAGTTTGTTGAGTGTGTTTCAGTGATGCTGCTCCCCTTGACTTAAACTTTCAACTTATCTGAAAGAGTCAAGCACTCAAAAGCGAGAGAAATACACAATTACTGGCCAGTTACCTGCTTGTGTCCTCATCTCTGATAAAACCTGAAACAATCCAGTGTCCTTGGTTCCTGCTGCCCAGCTCTTGCTACCTTCTGGCTGCTGAAACACACCCCAGGCTGGTATCACTCACTGATATCTACGTGATAGAAGCAGCTCCCAGGAACACCACGTCTCGTCTTGGTGACAGTATTACACCACAACACGTCCACTGGTCACTTCAAAATGACCATCATTCAATTTGATTAGTCAAAATAACACTATATTGCAAGGTGGCTCAACCCTTAAAAGTTTTGTACGCTGTGAATTGCATTAGGTGATTAATTTCCCTGTGTTTGCTCCTCAACATCCCTGTGGGTATCTTAGTCCAATAGGGAAACATGAGAAGCAAAGACTTGTTTGGTTGCCTGAAAGCCCAGGGTGCAAGTTCTCTCCTGAGAACTTTAGAGAGCAGTTAAGTCACGGTGCCAGCTCTTTTTAGTGTTTCCACTTCCTTTTCCAAATGACAAAGCCATTCTGATGCCAACCCAATCACCACAGGGACCTCAGAGCATCTGCTCCACTTTGGGCTTCCCTACAGCCCGCATTTGAAAAAGCTCTGAAATCAGTGGCTCCAAAGCCTGTTGGGTCCCCCCATACAGGTTTGGTGACTTACAAATCACACCCTTTTTGAAAAGGCAACATGACAGAAAGTTAGAGATGTAGTATAAACATAAAAATCTCACCAATTTTCCTTCCTTTTCTCTCTTGTCCACACACAAAAAAAAAACATATCATGCAGCCAATGGGAAAGGTATGCTCTGCCAACTGCAGGAAAATTAGTTTTCTCACTCTTATTCAGAATTCACGTCTGGAACATTTCACTATTTCAACTAGAACTACTGCTCACGTGTCACGTGCTCAATAAATAATTCTCCAAAACTCTCTCCCAAGTTTTAGGTGGGCAATTACTAGGCGAGGGAGCTCAAGAGCACAAGCGTATCGCTTCCCTCTGTGCTGCCAAAGACCATAAACAGTTAATAATCAAGAAATAGCCTCTTGAGAATGAGAAATTAAATGGAGACTAAATTTCTTTCAACTAATTTTAGGAGGCACAGTCACATATGAGTAGCTGTAAATAGCATAGAGTAAATGCTCTAATGTGTGGGAGGTGACAAGGAAAAGAGAAGCATTTTGACATTGGACTTAATAAGTTGGCAAATCCGAGGGAGAAGCGAGCAGAAAGGACAGAGGACAACCACTCTACTTTTATGGGTTTCCTAGGAAACCTTTCTTGCTTCCATTGGAAAACACCGTCAGAAGCACACGTTCCCCAAGCAGTATTAAATTAGGACGGGTGCCAACTCTCAATGAAGTGAATGGAAGCACATTTGCTGACTTCAGCAGAACGGAGACTGAACCTTGTAGAAGTCAGCTCTCTAAAGCAAGGACAGAGGTGCTAATACACATCACGCAAAAGTAGGGGTTTTTTTCCTACCACACATGATGTCCCAGTACTGTTCAACTCATCCCACCAGCCCAAGATACAACTCATACCACCTACTCATATACAACTCATACCACCTACCACTTTCTCCATCACTAATTCTGTCACGCATCCTTAGAACAAATGATTCCAAGACATTACATGGGATTCAGGCAAAAACTGAAATCATACCCTTCTCCACAGAAGAACAGACACAGCTGGAAGCTTCCTTTCAAAAAGCAGACCCCAACTACCCACAAAGTTCATATATTGTGTTTTTCATTTCATATTCATGGGATTTAGTAATGTTTCATCTCCCTTATAGAGACAGAAAAACTGAGCCACTAAGGAGCTGACTCACTTGAGTTTGTGTAAATCAACAGCTTAGCATATCCATAAACGTGGCTGTCAGGCTGAGAAGTACAGACATTTAAAAAACAATTAAAAGCAAACAAACAAAACTCTGCAACCGAGATTCTGGTGACAAAAATTATTTTCAAGCACTCTATTCTCTTCAGTGAAGAGTACAGTATAGCCACCCCTCTGTGACTACTTCCTAGCAGCGCTCTCAGCAAAGCAACTAATAACTGACAGACTTTCCTCTTTTCATCCTCTTGCAGGTGGGAGAGGAATTTCATTTGCACCAAGCATTTTCCTTTTTTTTTTAAGATATGAGACATTCAAAGGCTTGTTCAAAGCAATGGGCCTTACTCTTGGGACAGTACTTTGAACTTTACGAAGATCGCTTGTTTCTGGAAGATTTCGGCCACCACTTCAGTCCAGCCAGCAAGGAAGTTCTTGCTATGGTTCAGTTTCACTTGTGTCAAACAAGCAGTTATTGACCAGGTCTTCATCCTACAGCTTTACACAGGCTTTTAAATAACCTAAACACAGGTCATTCAGTGACATAAATGTTCCACAAAAAGCCCGACTCCAAGCAAAAATTACGTGGTAACCCAACAGAGTACTTTACCTTTCATACATATACATATAGATATATATATACACACACACATCCACCATCAATACTTGAACTCAGCTAAAGAACGGGCAAAATTTATGTGGATTCTTACTCCTGAAACTTGTTCTTTTGTATTCAGCTGGTGAGATTATCAGTGGAAATAATGACTCTTTCTGCTCCTTCAGTATTTGCTAAGCTGGCTTCGTCCCAGTATTCCTTCCTACGTCATCCTGTTTAGAGTTAGTTTAAAGAATGTTCAAGGTACATATGGTGCAAAGATTGTTCAGAGTTCCAGGTGCACGCTAGGCCAGAAACAGATGTGGCTGCAGTGGAAAAATACATGAACGTGGAGGCAAAAGAACAAGCAAGAACTTAGTGATGAGCATAATAAAAGCAGAGAAAGATGTGTGACAAGAGTACAGAGCAAAAGGCACTGAAACGGAACAAAAGTCAAAAGGAAAGGAAAAAGAGTAAATACAGAAAGAGACTGGAACGCACCTAAAAAACCAAGCATTCTTTTAATCTAATGAAGAATGAAAAGCCAAGCTATAAAATTATAGAGTGTTTATTTAGAGCTACCATGTCTTTTCTTGCCTGTGTTATCTTACATTTTGAAATCACTTCAAAACGTCTATGAAATGTGCAGGGAACAAAACGTACATTACCTAGCACTGAAGCCGAGAGGCCTGGAGAAGCTCCTTACCACTAAGGGATACAGTAAAATGGAAAAACTTATTACATGTTATTTCAGAAGTTAGAGCCACTTTCTCAGAGACCCATTACGATGGTGCAGTTAACAGGTAAACCACACAAAGTTAATCACAATAGCCAAAAGAAGAGGAAGGCAAAAGAGGAAAACCTCTACTCTGACAGCATGTGCTACAGACTTCATGCAGAAAAATAGGCTGTAGGCCTGCTGTGGGAACAGAGAGAAAGGAAGGAAAAATGGAATATAAATCACTAGGCTGCTAATTGTTCCTGAAAAAAAAAATAAATTGTGTTTGATTAAGCATTTGCAAGAACGTAGCTTAGCACAGTTATTAAACCTCACTACAAACAAGAAGCCCCTAAACCAGAAATAAGTGTTCAATTTCAGGACTGAGTTTCCAAGTTAAATCATATCAAAAGTAAAAAATGTTCCAAAGTAATTCTAAACAGCTTTTAAAAGCCAAGAACAGTGACGTTTCCTTTGAATGAACTGTCTCTATCTCTTACCCTTCCCTGCCATGTGACACCACCCTGGCCCCCAAATAAAAACTCCATTTGGGAAATGAGATGTCAGATGCAACACCGCACAATCCGTATACTACTGAAAGTATACTTTTCATTTTCTTCTGGATTAGTTTGTGTGCTTGCACAGGCAGAGTCCACTTCTGGGCATACTGCACTAGCACAGATCTGGGCCCACACAAACTCCCCTGAAATCACCAGGAGAAGGGACAGGTTCAGGACCCTGAACTCATGCCTCTTTTTAACAGGTCAGGGCACGAGGCCACGCTCACGTAATATAAGGGAGGCAAAACCTTCCTGAAACCAGAGGAATTCACCAGTGTGACTCTTGCACTAGGACAGCAGACTCGGTCAGGGTGATCTAGGCCCACACCATTTGCACACAAGTTTTGTTTGCGAGCTGTAAACATGAAAATACTATTTTTATTGTTATGCAAAATTTATGCAACGCAAAAAAAAAAAAAAAAACCAATGTAAAAATCAGCATGCCGACCTAACTCAAACTTCATGGTTTTGCCTATTAAACAGCCTTGACTTTGATGACAGTCCTTTAAAGCACACAGACCTCAAGTTGTTCCGAGTTTGGTAACCTATCCATTGCCGGTCTCTTAAGGCGGAAAATAAAATTTTCTACTCCTGTATGCTGAAAACCTGTTGATGCTCATGGTCCCTCACCCTATTAAGAGACTGCAGGCAGGACACCATGGGTTCCAACCCCCTTTCATGCCTGACTCCAGTGAAGGAAGAACACAAAGCCTGTGCCAGAGGAGGGGACCCCCGGGACAGGGCTGTGTGTCCCCCCCGGGACACAGCTGTCCCCTGCCCTCACAGCCGGCAACAGGGCGAAGGCCAGGCCCCCGGGGCCACCCCCACAGCTGAGTCCCCGGCCACTGCAAGCCACAGGGCGGCTAATGGAGGCCGGTGGCTCCCAGGCACTCCTCCCCGATATTCAGCGGCCGGGCAGGGGGTCGGGGCCGGCTGTGCCATAGGGCGGACGGGGCCGCACAGCTCAGCTTTGCCAGCCGGCGCTTCAATGCCTCCCCGCCGCCAGCCCAGCCGCGGGGGTCGAGGCCCATCTCGGCCCCGGGCCGGCCTCCCCTCCGCCGGCCGTGCCCCTCACCCCGGCGGGGCAGCAGCCGGGAGCCGCGGCGGGACCACCACCCGCCCCTCTCCCACAGCGTCCAGGCCGCGCCGCGGGAAACATGGCCCCCCGGTCCGGCGCCTGCCCTCAGCCCCGCCGCCTCACCTCGCTCACCAGCCCCTGCCAGTCGCTCTCGCTGCGGTGGGAGCCCGCGGCCTAGCGCGGCCCTGCCGGGCCCTGGCCCTCCTCCACACGGCGAAGTTCCCCGGCAGGGCCGCGTTGTCCGGGCGGGAGGGCCGGTCCGCAGGAGAGAGAGGGCGGCTGAGGCCCGGGCTGCGAGCCGCTCCTGCCCCGGGCCAAGCAGAGGTCAGGGGCCTCCTCAGAGGAGGGCCCTGCTGTCTTTATGGTTTTATATAGGGTTAATCCCAGAATGGTTTGGGTTGGGAGGGACCTTAAAGATCATTGAGTTCCAACACCTGTGCCACGGGCAGGGACACCTCCCACCACACCAGGTTGCTCCAAGCCCCATCCAGCCTGGCCTTGAACCCCTCCAGGGATGGGGCAGCCACAGCTTCTCTGGGCAACCTCTTCCAGTGTCTCACCACCCTCACAACAAAGAATTTCTTCCTAATATCTAGTCTAAATTTGCCCTCTTTCAGTTTGAAGCCCTTACTCCTTGTCCTACGGTTCCACTCCCTGATCAAGAGTCCCTCCCCATCTCTCCTGTAGCCCCCTTCAGATACTGGAAGGGGCTCTAAGGTCTCCCAGGAGCCTTCTCCAGCCTGTCCTCACAGAAGAGGTGCTCCATCCCTCTGATCATCTTTGTGCCTCTCCACTGGACCTGTTCCAACAGGTCCATGTCCTTCCTCTGCTGAGGACTCCAGAGCTGGACACAGGACTCCAGGTGGGATCCCACCAGAGCAGAGCAGAGGGGAGAATCACGTCCCTCACCCTGCTGGCCACGCTGCCTTTGATGCAGCCCAGGATGCGGTTGGGTTTCTGGGCTGCCAGCACACATTTTCAGCTCGTGTCCAGTTTTTTACCCACCATAGATATTATTTGTACGTAACAAAACCCCTGTGAATTAGGTACACAGTTACATTGTGCATCTAAAGTAAGACACAGCAGGAGGACAAAGAGGTAGAAAACCATCCTCTCAAAACATGATACAGGAACACTGCCCACTTTGGGCACAGATCTCTGTTGTCACTCAGTTCATGGAGGTGTAAATAATGTAATGACCCAGGACTTGCTTTTTTTCCTTGCTGGCACAGACTCCTCCATGGGCACTGAAACCCAAGCACACTACCCACGTGGCACTCCAAACCCTTCCAGATACCTCCACAGTTTGGCTGCACCCTCCAAACCCTTCAAGACACCTCCATGGCTCAGCTGCACCCTCCACAACCCTGTGGCCACGGCCGCTGCGTAGTACATTCCCTGGGACCAGGTCTACCTTGAGGCACATCACGTGCAGTCTTTGTTATACTCCTAACACGGCGACTGCTCCCAGGACTTAACATTTTCCGGGCACAGTCCAAGTGTAATTGCATGGAATATTCCAGCAGTTTAAGCCACAATTACTTTTTGTTTTAAATAACACAACAAACAGTTCAAGACAAGATGATATACTATGTGTGTCTCATTCATGACCACAGTTTCCCCACTGTTAAGATTTGCGGTTTGGCATCTAGGCAGTGTCCTGATCTCTAAAATGGCTGAGAGATCCTCCTTTGACAACTTCACATCCCTTCGAGCAGGTGATGCCTCGGCCTTGCCACTGATAATATTTCTGTTCCAGGTGCTTAATTAATGGCTTATATGGGAAGAAACATAGGCTGCATCTAAACCAAGCAGGAGCTGTCTTTGAATCTAAGATTATCAAGTTTAATAAATGCCTGTGGTTATCTCCATATAAAAAAGTCCAGGAGAGCAGCTAGCTTCAGCATGGAACTTTAGATTGATAAATACGGAGTTCATACATTTTACCTGCAAATTGTGAATCAAACTTAGACATTTTCTCCAAGTTATAGCCCATTTTCTCCTATATTATCTGTTCCTCATCTCTAGGCATTCTGTAACTTCAGTGCTCTAGAGGGTACATTTGTCTTTCCTCTTTGTTCATATTTTTCCGTGGTTTATGTTGTCAGGGGGTGTGATATATCACAATCCTCTGTGTCCTCGCAGGCTTCTTGGCAAACCAGTGCTGAAAACAGCATCTTGTTTGCACAGGCAAATAGAATAATGAAAATTAAATGAACGAGAACTGTAATCTAAACCCAGTGATTAAAAGAATTGTTAATGATGTTAGAAACTCCATCATTTGAATAGTATTTTTATTCGTTAAACCTAGGTGCTAGGGTAGGTAACCCAGAGAGAATTTTTTTCCCAGTTCTGCTTGGCATTTACACAATTTCTCTCCTTCATTTTCTTGGTCTTGTAGTATTCCAGACTCAGAATGCTCTTGCAGAAAGAGCTCTGCTTGTAAGAAAGATAACCTTCTAATAGCCCTCATTTTTGCGGGATGTCACTCATTTTAATCCCAGAGCTGCTCTGCTCCCTACAAACATAACGTTTAATTTTTATTGATGATAATTATTCAAATGAGAAGTAAATATTCATGAAAGAGAGGTTATTAAAACAAAACAAAAAAAACCAACTCTTGGTGTTTCTAGCTCATATGATTTTATCAAAAGTCTGATGAGAGCTGGTGTTTTTCAGAAAGCCCAAACTCTTGGATGAGAATAACCACTTTCTTTTGAAGTAAAAGAAAGATTCAAGGGAATAAATAAAAAATAAGCTGAAATGTGCCTTGAGTACACTTGATAGGATCAGAAAGGAAAGAAAAGAACCCAAGTATGTATTTTTAAGCAAGCACTTTTAGTGCCTCTTATCAAGCCATTTGGCAGCTTCTTTCAGCTTTCCTGATCATAGAATCATTCCTGTCTGTCTTACTGGGGGTTACTGTGACACTCCTGCGTAACGGTGCTGGTTGGGACCAGGTTTCTCTGCCAGCCTGCAGGCAGACGTGTATTGAGATACAGCTCCTGCCTTAACTCAGGCAAGGCAAAAAGAAGGTGATAGAAAAGAAGTATTATCGCCTCAAGTTTCTAAATAGGAAACTGAAGAGAGGAGTAATTGCCTTGCCCAAGAAAACCGAAGTTTCCGACATAACCAGGAAGCAAAACTGCAGATTTCAAGAATACCGTTTTGCTGGTTTAATTGCAAAACTTACAAGGTGTCTTGATTCTTCTCCTACCTGCTGCAATAGCTGCTTTTGCACCGTTACCTTGCCAACATCAGAAGAATGCAGTATTGTCATTGAACGTCTGAGGAAAAAAAAATCATCTCTCAATCTTTCACTTCAGCTACCAGGCCGTTGTCTTTGTCTCCAGATCCTTTATCTTCTTGGCTTTCTTCCTTCATACATTCACTAGATAAACTTATCTGCTTCTAGTGTTTCATCTCCCTTCTCTGCAATTCTGCTTTGTGATCAATCTTTCCCTCGGTATCTCGAGTTCATCTGTTTTTTCACCAGATTACCCTCCACTTCTCTAAGCATTTTCTACATTTCATTAAGGAGACTTCAGACTTTTTAAAAGAAAACTTTTTTTTTTTTTTTTTTTTTTTTTTTCCTGGGCCTGCAATCTTTGATTCTTTGAATTAGCGAACAAATATTATTTTGCTATTAAATAACTGTGGTCTGGATCTTTCTATTTTTTTTTTTTTTTTTTTTTTTTTTTTCCCCTGGACAAATTACACATTCAGAATCAGATCCAAGCTATTGTGGCTCCTTGATGCAACTGCTCAGGTAAACATACGTAGGAGATTTAACCAACAGTTTTCACTTGTAGGAGATTTAATCGACAGTCCTAAAACACAGCTTTCAGAAATCATTGTCTTTGTCAGACATTAAGAAAGGAAACAACCCTTTTTTTTTCTTCTGTCGGTAAGCCAATGAATGGATCGCTTCAAATTTTGCAGCTTATTTTTGTCAACATTTGTCTCCTGCACTAACATCATCATTACATCCATGTCTAACTCTAAAGAAATATATGATTAAAAAAACAGTGTAAATCCTTAAGATCTGGACAGGCTACATAATTGAAATGTAATGAAAACATGTAGTGCTTGTCCCCTGAAGGATGATTCAATCTGACTCTCCACAGATGTTTCAGGGTTCCATTTAATCAGGGTTTAAATACCTCTGAATGAGGATATAACCTATTGTAGATAAAACATCCACTTTGGTACCTTTGCTAATTTATATCAGCATTATTCTAGTTCATGTTCTTGCTAATCTGATGACAGATAAATACACACTCCAACCCTTACACACATATTTTGGAGGAAGCAGCCTATGTTTGTGGGTGGGGGGCTATTACTTTTAGCATTTATCTGTTCCCCTGTTTGTTTGCTTCCCTTTGCTTTTGCCTTTCCTTGTCAGAGGCTGCTTTTTGTCCATTGATATTCCAGCTGCGCCTTCTCAATTTTCTCAGGTTCATTGCTGGTTTCACTATCCTGTATCAGCTCTTCTACTTCACATGCATGATCTGTCAGCGGGACAATATGATCTGCAGATCAGAAGCAGTTTAGCAGTTATTCATTATGTTGAATCCTTTTGTGCCCAGTCAAGTCCGTGAAGGACACATCTTAGGCAAACAACAAAGATCTTTAAAGTGATGGTGTTTCTTTTTTCCTCTCCAGCAGTTTTGGACCTTCAATGCATTCTGTTCCTCTGTGTATTAGATGCTGCTTGTAACATTAAAATTGGAGACAGCCTTTATTTTCTTTGGCTTTTTTTTTTATTTTCAAAGCTGTTAGCTGGTGCGACTGGATACTGGAGTTCAGAATAGAGTAGGCCTCTCCCCTAAAGAGAGTGGAAAAAGGAGAATTTGAGGGAAGACACAGAAACTGTGATCTCACAAGCCAGCTCTGTTATATAGATTCTCTAGGAGTATTATATTAGCTCTAACTCCACATGTAAGTGCTTTCAACAATTTTGTTTTAAAGGCTGGTTTCTCCGAGGCCTTGTGGTGTCACAGCATCTAACTTTTAGGGCTGCTTCTGTCTAGAGAAATATTCAACCTCCTGTAATACGGAAGTTTTCATTGGAAAACTGCTGTTTGGGTGCTTCCTGGCTAGCTAGGGCTGAAGTGCTCAGAAAAGGGGTTGGCAGAGGTGTTTGAGCAGGTTGCCAGCCCTTAGATATTCATAGAATCATAGAATTGCCGGGGTTGGAAGGGACCTTTCAGATGATCTAGTCCAACCATCCACCTAACACTGACAAAAACCATCACAAAACCATATCTCTAAGTAAGTGCTGTGTCTTCCCATCTTTAACTATCTCCAGGGATGGTGGCTCCACCACTTCCCATATTGCTGATAAACACCCATTATGCAGAACTGCTCAGTTCAAACACACTCTTGTGTTGATATACTCATGACACCAAGCATGGACTTCAGTGAAGTCCCCCAAAACCACCAGGCTGTGGATGAGGCTCTAGAAGGTGCTGTGGGGAGTTCAAATCCAACTCGGCCAAGAAGGCTCTAAGTTCTTTAAGAACATCTGTAGAATGAATCGGTTTGATCTAAGCTATATTGGAAAAAATTGGCACTGTTGTCTCTGTTAGTGATGGTAGATAACTGTCTAGGGATTATCAATAAGTTATTTTATGTTCACCAGAAGTATTCATGCTCTTCTTCCCCTCACCCTAAGAATAAGGACAAATCAGTAGGAACTAGAAGACAGCAGTAAAGAAAAAAATACAAAATCTCAGAGCCTGCTTTAAGGCCATGTCATTACGATTGAATATAGAGTTAGTGTAAATGAATTCTGTTTTCCCAGAGGCATCAAAATCCTCCTGTCAAGACAGTCTCTCAAGAGAGACTGGAAAGTCTCTCACTGCCCTCCTTGCATTATTATTATTTCCCTTAAAATATAGTGCCATTGATGTAACTAGAAATACAATATAAGATCAGAGAAAATATTTTGTCAAGTGACTCAGACAGGCACAACTGATGGGTACTAAGGAAACGTGTACTGCATTTTATGTTCCTCTGAGTGTGTTAGAAAAATATATGAAACAGTTCATTTTACTAAGAAATCCAGGTAAGGAATTCAAACTACTTTCTGCTCCTATGAAATTGAAGAGTGACCTAGTCCTGTCATCAGATCTGACACATGAGTGGCTTTTCAGACTTGCAAGTTCATTTTTCAACTGGTGGGACATATCAAATCCCTGAAAGCTGTCCGACACTCACGAAGACATTTTTTGCTGTGGCCACACCAGACTCTTTGGCACGAAGACCGTCACTTTACATACGTGGTCACCACTCGTCAGAGTGTAAGCAAAGAATGAGGTAGGGAACGTGAAGGACAACCAGCCTGATCCCGTGCTTCCTTGTCAATGTAGAGGGAATAAAGAAAGCAAGCTCGCCGACAGAGAACACAAAACTTAAATCGAAACAGAACTTGAGAATATCACAGCAAAATAATTTTCCATTTGAAACTGTCTGTCTGGAAAAGAGCAAAAGGTATGTGCTTTGGTATGCAGTTTTTCTGGATTAATGAGGAAATTTCTTATCAAACCTTGACTGCATGCCTTAGGATGGGCAACGGGACCGTAGAGAGACACTGAGCTGAAGTCTGCCTGTTTTACGCACAAATTGTGCAGACCTTTGGAACTTCAACCTCAGTCTCTTCTAAGTGAAGTTTGGTGAGCATTCTTTTATCTTCATGGAAGCTTCTCCAGTTGGTAAAAGCAGTTAAATGTTAATTGGATCAAGGAGCTGAAGCTTTGGTTTCTACATCCCAGAGAAAGCCATAACAGGCAGGATAGAGCCTCCCTCTCTTCACATAAATACTTAATTATAAAAGTGCAACAGCTTTAACAGAAGAAAGTAAGAGATCTGTTTTTGTGCTCCAGGTTTGAATCAGATGGAAAGAAATTAAATCCTGTAATTCCTCTGTCACAGGAGCCATTGGAGTAGATGCTATTCTAGGGTGACTGTCTCTTTTCTTTTCCATTGTTGCTTTCTTCTATTAGTGACATTTTTACTGGTGAGATTACCATCCTATTAAATAATTTTTACAGTGAAAGTAAATCTATACCTTCAATTTATTAATTGCTGCTTGCTTTACCTTTCAATTTCACAGCCTTTTCTTTTTATTCTTAGTGCCTAACAGTTTATTTTTAAAATAAACTTTTTCACCAAGGGTTTTTTTCTTCATGCTTGTTGGTCACCGAATCAATTTCAACTGTGATCTTGCGGTCCTGGTGAGAGGTCACATGTGGGTGGTATGTTTATTTATTGATTCTGACAAAAGGTGGAGGCACCAAACAGTCAGTACCAAACAGAACCCCATAAAACTGTGTGAAGGCTGAGGGCTCTTGCTTGTATTCAGCAGTGGGCACAAATTACAAGCTGAAGCGGATCCTCTCCCTGGCCCTTGCCTTGTCCTCCAGAGGCAGCTTGTGGGGACAAATGAAAATTATGAAACAGCTTCAGAATCCCAATTTTAAGCCAAGCCTACGGAAATGAACGAAAACTACTTTCAATTAATGCTGTGTGTATCTATGGCACTTACTTTAGCTATCTGTTTTATATCTGCCACCTTCTGCAAATGAGATTCCTGAAACCTGCCAGCAGGGCACAAGGAGTGGTTTTGAGGGTGTGTACTAGCAATTTGGTGTGGTTAGCTGTATGCAGAGATAAGGAGCCAAAGACTTTCAGATCCCTGCTGAATAGGTCAGATCCTACATGGTTTTGCCAGAAATATTTTCTCCGTGAAGGGTTTTCTCCACCATGGACTTAAAAGTTTTATATCTTCACCAAAAGGGTTATCAAACACTGGAACAGGCTGCCCAGGGAAGTGGCTGAGTCACCATCCCTGGAGGTATTTAAAAGACGCGTAGATATGATGCTTAAGGACGTGGTTTAGTGCTGGAGTTTAGGCAGCATTAGGTTTACAGTTGGACTTGATCTTAGAGTCTTTCCAACTTGAATGATTCTTTATCAAGATTCTTGTTAAGTAGAAGCATCTTTGTTCTACAGAAATGCATACATTTAGAGGCTGGAATAAATAAAATTAACTAGTGCTTTCACCACTGGAGGTGGGATCCAAGAGGACCACACTGTTTAAGCAACTTTAGGCCTAGAAGATGCGGAGACACCTGTGGTAGAACATTAAATGCTACGAGGAGCCTAATTTCCATCCAAACTTTAAGCCTTATGGCCCTTCAGCTTTAAAAGAAGCAATAATGCTATTGTCTAACGGAGTGTGCTGAGTAATGAGGCCCCTTGGTGTTTCTGTGTTTGGGTAGGATGGCAGCCAATTTGTGTACGCAAAAAATGAGACTTTGGTGGAACACTGCTGGCTTTTAGGACCCTCTTATGAGCTTGCTGGGCTCAGTCATAGTTGTTATCAGTTCTAGACTGTTCTCAGCCTGGTCCTAAAATAAAGATAAAAAATCCACACAGTAAGAACAAAGAAGTCAAAGCCTGGTTAAGGTGTTTTTGGGTGTTTTTCTGCACTCTGCACTCTCCAGCCCTCCAGTTCTGCACTGCTCATGGGTTTCACTAACAGCACAATGTCATTTGTCTCAACTTTAGTGGCTGGGCAGATTCTGACACACCAGGAAAATGTATCTGTTTCAATTTGGTATTTAACAAGGTGCACAGATGGTGTTAAAAAGCAGGTAGAAGTGGTTAATCACCTGTGAATTTTAGGCATTTTTCTGCTGTCCATAGAGGACTTTAGAGGTGCATTTACTGCATGGTTTTCTCCAGGATGATTTGCATTTTCATGGTTGTTTTCAATCAATCACCCCGGAGAGGCTTGCAAATCTTTTAATTCCAAAGCTGTGAAGACCTGCCTGTGTCCACATTCCTAGCGCAACAAATGATTTGGGACCTGAATCCTGTGGTATTCAGGATCCGCGCTCAGGCGTATCCCTACCTCATCGCACCCTGAATTGTTTCATTTTACTGACACCATCTGTTTCTTGTGCCTAAACCAATTTGTATTCCATTTCAAGAGTTGTCCCCTATGCTCAGCTTTCTGACCTTGTAAATCGATCTCCCGTACAGTCTGTAACAAATACTTTCCTGAAATCTGGATGAATTATGTCAACGATTTCATCTTTATCAATTCGGCAATGCATCGAAATGACCCTAATACATTTGTCATACATGATCTTCTTTTAACAGAACCGTGCAGCTTTCCCTTTACTAAATCACAGCTCTAACTGGATTGTAATCTTCTCCCTTATAAATGTTTCCATTATCTTGCTCACTACTACAGTCAGTCTTACAAGTCTGTATTTCGTTGGGTCTTCCCAGTGTCTCTTTTTGACAGCTACTGAAGCCACTCGACGGTGAAGTGCATTTCAGGTAAATATAATTGATATGCTCTTTAAAAGAAGAAGAAAAAAAAATTAAAACCTAGTAAAATATACTATACTCCTGGTGTTCGACAGTAGTTTTAGAAATTCCCTGAGATGAATGGAGAATAAAGGAGGATTTCTTTATTGCTGGCAGTTAGTGGCATTGATGGATCATGGCGTAGCTCTTCTCAGTATGGCCAAATAATTTCACTGTATAGAATTTTATATAGCTACAGCTAAAATTCAATGAACTGATTCAGAAGGTTCAGGATAAACTATAACAATAAGTTAAGCCCTTAAATCGATTTGGTATTTTAAAAGAAGAGGGAGCAGCAAGATGTCATCTTCCTTCACAGATGTAACTTTAACTGGAACTGTAAATCCAAAGCAGAGTATTGGGGGATAAGGGTATATAACGTGTGATTTAAGATCCATCCTGGAAATCAGTGAGGGTTTGAGTACACCAACTCTAAAACATAATCGGAACGTTATAAGAGTCCATCCAGAAAGTTAGGAGGGTATCTTTTTAGAAGAATAAAGATAAATTTCATATCTTCAAGAGGCTGTTTTTGAAGAGTGCCGGGCAAGTTGAGAAAAGAAAATGACTGTGAAGGAAGCAGCAGAGGCATAGATAACCACTCATCCTACTATCCTCTCAAGATACGAGCTGGGGATGATTTCTATCAACGACTTCCAAATACAACATTATTCAGCTTTCATTATGTTGTCAATCTAATTTGAATGTAAGTTATTCCGAGCACATGGCCGTTTTTGCCTTGTGTTTGCCTGTAAAGCGCTGCATACCCCAAGCCAGGAAAAAAGGGGAGAATTATTGGATTAGAGGGAGATAACGTCCTCATTGAAAGTCCTGTGAGCAAACGCTTGTTTTCTAATCACCTTTGTGAAACCTGCTATACCACACAGAGAAATCCCTCTTCAAAGTAAGAATTGCAGCTTATTTTATACTAACTCTGTACAGCCTTTCTACTTATGAGGAACGGGAGAAACTCTTGCCAACTTACATTAGTTTCTGGGGAAAAAATCCCACCTGAAGTCCCAAGATTTGGCTTTGGTGATGACCTTAAGTTCACAGAGCTCTCAGTAGTGCACAAACTCCACGTTGAGATGAAATCCTGAATTCACACTGAAGCGAAATAGAGTTTTTTCCTTGACGTTCAAAAGGCCAAGGTTTCAAATCCTCCCTTTTGAGACAGGAGTTATAGAAATTTTTTGCAGCTGTGGCACGGTTACATCAGCAGTGAGTGCTGTAGAGATAGCCCACAAGTAATACAGAAAATATTATCCCCAGGTCTGCAAGATCTGAGATAGCCACTGTGACCTAAAATAGCAGCTTGTTATGTGCCAACAAGTCCATCTTCTTTCTCTTAACTCTAAATAAAAGCGTAAAAGTTTAACTGAAGGGGCAATTAGAGCCTGACAATGTGCATCTACCTGCCCTGTATCAGCCTACCGGGTAATTTTCTAGCTTTCAGCTTCCCTTTCCATTTTTCCACCTCTTTACAATAAATCTACTATGAATTTCCCATTTTTGTTGCACTGGCTCTTTTTCCTCCTCTTTGTATTTTATTTTTGATCTCTTTCTGCCCTTTGGCTCTAGACAGGCCCTTTTCCCCTCTGATTTTATTTTGTGTGCCTGTCTGTGGGCAGCTTTCCCTGCTCTCCACCCCAGGGCCTGACTGAAGGACTAGTTTGCCATCACGAAAGTCTAGATCAGAGAGGGTTTCTTCTGAATCCTCAGATCTGTCACATCCCTGGCTCCCATCTCGTTCTCAAGCGAGGCCAGAGCAAGCACTGGTGACTTTGCCGTAACTCTGGCAGTTACTTCTGGGCACAAAGTACGTTTGGAGTTTGATCAGAAGCTGTTTAAGAGCATGATGACGAAAGCACTTGTGAAGCACTGCAGCACATCCTACCTGACCCTCCAGTAACATGAGCCAAGGAGAAAGTAAGTCCACAAGAGTAACTACCATCAGCAGAGAGCAGCACCCTCAGACAGGAATGTAAGCAGATGCTGCATGTGACAGACACGGACCTGTCAGCATGCTGTTGGGCCACCACCTTTCCCTTGGGCGATACACAAGAACAGGGTCTAGAAGATCAGTCCACAGCTCCCACTGAGCGTTCACTCCACCATGAACCTAACCCTGACAAAACCCATCACTAAACCATATCTCTAAGCACCATGTCAGCCCATCTTTTTAAATGCCTCCAGGGATGGTGACTCCACCACTACCCTGGGCAGCCTGTTCCAATGTTTGATGACCCTTTCAGTGTAGAAATTTTTCCCAATATCCAATCTGAACCTCCCCTGGCACAACTTGTGGCCATTTCCTTTTGTCCTGTCGCCTGTGACTTGGGAGAAGAGACCAATCCCACCTCTCTCCACCCTCCTTTCAGGGAGTTAGAGCGAGAAAGTCTCCCCTCAGCTTCCTTTTCTCCAGGCTGAACACCCCCAGCTCCCTCAGCCTCTCCTCATAAGACTTGTTCTCCAGACCCCTCACCAGCTCCATTGCCCGTCATGTTGCCAACAGGGCTGTGTAAGCTTCTTCTATCACCTGGACCACGTGTATCATGCCGGCAAGAGCCGATGTGGGGGTGAAGCTCCCTGTTGCATCGCCTGTTGGGTTCATGCCTGCCACTACAGCTGCCATTTTTCTTTTTTGTTAAGGGAAGGATTTAAATCAGCCTCGAAGTTTTACACTAGTGTAACGTTAGGACGAAAGCAGTTGGTAACCAGTGGGGAAAAAAACACTGCCGCAAAAAATAAATAGAAACAAGGTATTGTGTTACAGTATTGGAGCATTTCAGCCCTCAGGGGTTATTCATGTAAATGAATCTTGTGCTTATTCTGTCAGGAAACACAAATTAATAGCACACGAAGAAATATGAACCAACAGTCTTAAAACCCCAGATGAAATCAAACCACACAAATCAGATCCCATTACAGATTACAGGACCACGGTCTCAATCAGAGAGAGTTTTGCTTCTGTAAATAAAGTTGTTAAAGGTCACCCCATGTTAGGGTGAGTGTTTCAAACTTACCTCCCAAAATCTCTGAGGTGTTTGGAGCTTGGTTTTTCTTTTGGATTGTGCCCGTCACCACATAAGACTCAAAAGTCTCCAAATATGGTTTATTTGGAGAGCATCTGAAGGTTTGGTTGATCCCAGAGCTCTGTTGGTAGAGAGACTTACCACAGTGTGCCTTCAGAAAACATAGTTGACTGTTCAACACTACCATCATGAGAGTTAGCAGCATTCCCCACAAAACCTAGCAACACTTCTTCTGCTTAGCTCTGACCTTAAACGATGTGTAAAGTTCAACTATGAGAGGGAATACTCCCCATAATTCCATTCCTCAATATGTGTGAATCTCCAAATGCTGAAAAAAAATACCAAAATTTAGACTAGTACAGACGTAAAAAAAGTCTCAATGATGTAAAAACCGATCACAATAAAGAGAAATTGCTCTTGATATCAACACCATTAGCAATCCAAATATCTGGAATTTACCTGCTGCCTTGTCATCTGCTCATCAGAGTCACAACATTGGGAGGATTTTTTTGTCTCTGAATGCTGAGTTTCCACTAGATCACAGTTTCAGGCTACTTAGATGTGATATGAAAGCAAAGGGATGAAAAGAAGAAAAATTTTTGCTTGGTCACTTGAACTTTGGATAGCAAAATTACCTGAGACTAATCTAAATTACTTAACTAACATCTAATGAGACTGAGCGTGTTCAGTCTGCGGAAAGCATCTTTGCCTCTCACAGGGGATGCACAGTTCCATAGCAGAGGAATTCAAATTCAGCCCCTATCAGCACTAACCATACTGGTACCCAGGTACCTTACATGGTTTATCTGTCTTTAGAGGTCTTTGTTCTGCAAGAGAGCGGCGCTTCAGTCTTTCTACAGCTTGTTATGTTGTTTACCATCCTACTCAGGCTCCTGTTGAAAATGCTTTTTCCCCTCTTCCCAGTGTGAAGGCACGACATGCTGTTACTGTTTACAGCAAATGGCCTGGCAGAACCACGCATGCTAAGGAGGAACATACACGCACCGGTATATTTGCTGTGGTGTTTTCATAGAAACTTGAATACACACAATTTTTAAATAGTTTTGGTATCAAAACGGGTCATTTTGTAAATGTAAAAAAAAATAATTGTAAAAGTAAAAAAAACCCACCTCATAATGAATTTGTGGAAAATATAGTTGAAAATATGACCTGCTGTTAATAACTTCTAAAGAACTGGCCTGATTTTAGTGACCTCTTAGAGGAACACAACACTATCTAGTCCATTTGAGAGTAGTATATTCTTTCCAGAAAAAAAAGAAATCCTTCAGATTAGTGCAATTAGAAAGCCTGAAGATGGCATTCTGGGCAAATAATTTTCAATTTCACTTGTCCCTATACAAACTTGTTTGTGAGACACTTTACGAAGATGTTGTCTGACCTCTAAGGAACAGCCAGACTTACAGACCTCAGAATCCATCTTTGAGACTCTGACAAATAATTTTCAATTTCACTTGCCCCTATACAAACTAGTCTGTGAGACACGTTACGAAGATGTTGTCTGACCTCTAAGGAACAATTTTAGTGACCTCTTAGAGGAACATAACACTATCTAGTCTATTTGAGAGTATTACATTCTTTCCAGAAAAAAAAGAAATCCTCCAGATTAGTGCAATTAGAAAGCCTGAAGATGGCATTCTGGACAAATAATTTTCAATTTCACTTGCCCCTATACAAACTAGTCTGTGAGACACGTTACGAAGATGTTGTCTGACCTCTAAGGAACAGCCAGACTTACAGACCTCAGAATCCATCTTTGAGACTCGGAGCAGGAGGCTGTTCTCTGAAGTCCTGGTATTACATATAGATATTTAAAGCCTATAGGGTGGGTTTTATGCTGCCTTAAGAACTCACCTTGCAGCATATGTGTGTATATGTGTACGCGAGTTAAAACATCTTGCCCCCTCTTGTTAATCTAAAAAACCTTGTCAATTAACGTGTCGAAAAGACTCTGGTATCTATCATAAAATCATCAAATAATTGAGGCTAAAGGGACCTCTGGAGGTCATTTGGTCCAATACCTTGCTCAAAGCAGGGCAAACATCAAAGTTAGGTCAGGTTAGACTGTGCAGTCAAGTTCTGAGTATCTCCAAGGATAGAGATCCCACAGCTTCCCTGGGTGACACCATGCAGCATTTGACTATACTCATTGAGAAGAATTTATTTACTTATATTTAACCAGGATGTTCCTTACAGCAACTTGTATCTCCTGCCTCTTGTCCTTTTACTGTGCAATACTGAAATTTAGAAGAAAAATAATTCTTTACACAGACCTACCCATATTACAAGGCAGGGAGAATGAAGATATTTTCTGGCTATTATAGTTTCTTTTTGCAGGCTGTCCTAAATTAAATTATACAGTCAAATCTCCGTTATCAGAAGGTAATGGCTGAATTCAATGTTTTTTATCGATGCATCACTTTGGGGTTCAGATATGGGATTTCCCATGCCTCAAGGCTGCCTTTACCAGGATTAGCAAGTCTTCATTTCTATGGTAGAAGTAGATTTTTCATGTTTATGAGAAATACAAGGTATTAGTGTTATTCACTCACTCTTCTACTTTGTCCTTAAAACATATGGGGCAGACCTGTAGCCGCTAAAGTTGCTAGTTAATAGTTACAAACATATTTATATTAGTGAGCATGTAAGTAGGCTATGTGGAAGGAAGATTACTCTATGCCCTTAATCTAGTCTGGTTTGCTTAATTTTTGTTTAAGTGAGTTAATTTTGTTTAGCTGATTACCCTGCAGAATCCTGCATCCATTGCAGGGTAGGAACAAGCACCCATGAAGGTGTTTTGGAGCCATGACAGCACTCATCATCATGATTCTATGATTTTAAAGAATTACACAAGATGTGATGTGGCCATGTTTTTCTTCTTTGTTCTACCATGCACCACTGTTTTAACTTCTTCTGGCACCTAAGGACACTAACCTAGAGCTGCTGCAGTGCAGGGAGATGGGCAGGATTTGGGGATCCATGGAGTTCAGGAGGCATCCTGTTAACTAGAAGGAGGGGCAGGGAATAGGTACCCTAACATGGATCACAGCACAGGTGGCTTGAGCTTCATGGGATTCCAGAGAGCAGGTTATACCCTTGGCACGTGGGTCAAACATGCAAGAATCATAGGATGGTTTGGGTTGGAAGGGACCTTTGAGGTCATCAAGTTCCAACCCCTCTGCCACGGGCAGGGACACCTCCCACCAGACCAGGTTGCTCAAGAACATGACAAACTGGAGGTTCCTTGAGGGCTTGGGCTTCCCAGCACTGCGTATACCTACCATGAGTGCCATTAGCCCCACATTTCACTCATTTACTTGTGCTCTTGCTGTGCTTCCCTTTCCTGTTTGAAGAGGCTTGTTTAATTTTGCTAACGACTCTGAATGGAGATAAGGCCCGTGTGTGTAATAACAGACTAAAATTAAACTTCAAACAAATTATCTGTTAGGATTTAGGAAAAAAAAAAAAAAAAAAACTCAGGCTCCTGTTGAAAATGCTTTTTCCCCTCTTCCCAGTGTGAAGGCACGACATGCTGTTACTGTTTACAGCAAATGGCCTGGCAGAACCACGCATGCTAAGGAGGAACATACACGCACCGGTATATTTGCTGTGGTGTTTTCATAGAAACTTGAATACACACAATTTTTAAATAGTTTTGGTATCAAAACGGGTCATTTTGTAAATGTAAAAAAAAATAATTGTAAATGTAAAAAAAAACCCACCTCATAATGAATTTGTGGAAAATATAGTTGAAAATATGACCTGCTGTTAATAACTTCTAAAGAACTGGCCTAATTTTAGTGACCTCTTAGAGGAACATAACACTATCTAGTCTATTTGAGAGTATTACATTCTTTCCAGAAAAAAAAGAAATCCTCCAGATTAGTGCAATTAGAAAGCCTGAAGATGGCATTCTGGACAAATAATTTTCAATTTCACTTGCCCCTATACAAACTAGTCTGTGAGACACGTTACGAAGATGTTGTCTGACCTCTAAGGAACAGCCAGACTTACAGACCTCAGAATCCATCTTTGAGACTCGGAGCAGGAGGCTGTTCTCTGAAGTCCTGGTATTACATATAGATATTTAAAGCCTATAGGGTGGGTTTTATGCTGCCTTAAGAACTCACCTTGCAGCATATGTGTGTATATGTGTACGCGAGTTAAAACATCTTGCCCCCTCTTGTTAATCTAAAAAACCTTGTCAATTAACGTGTCGAAAAGACTCTGGTATCTATCATAAAATCATCAAATAATTGAGGCTAAAGGGACCTCTGGAGGTCATTTGGTCCAATACCTTGCTCAAAGCAGGGCAAACATCAAAGTTAGGTCAGGTTAGACTGTGCAGTCAAGTTCTGAGTATCTCCAAGGATAGAGATCCCACAGCTTCCCTGGGTGACACCATGCAGCATTTGACTATACTCATTGAGAAGAATTTATTTACTTATATT